ATGTTTATACCAGCTTTCTGTATGTTCTGATGGGCAAACTTAAATTTACGTTATTTGTATGATTAAAATGGTAACCGCATGTGAAATTAAGTGAAAAATAATTATTAAATATTGTAAACATTTTGGCGCGAAAAAATACGAAACTAAAGAATAATTCTAAAAGCTGACTAAATATTCGATTAAATACGCATACATGGTCACACTCACAAATCAAAACTAAGATGACGTCATTAGTTACTGGAAATTTCCATGGGTTGTTCATTTATGAAGATCAGCCGATCATGTTTCGTTCAAAGTAACAATTCAGACTTATATCGGAACGGACCTGTAAATATTAATAAAGGCATCGAGAGGTTTTCTCGAAATTATCCAGAAAGCAAAGAAGTGAAGGCCTGCCCTATCATTTATCGCATAAACAAATTAAATATAGAACTGTTTTTTAGGTCAAACCAAAAAAAGAAAACGGCCCTTTTCGATTTAACTTCCGCGTTGTCGTTGTCCTTTAGGGCGGCGTTCCCGTGCGAAGCAGAGGAATGTTTTGTCTGTTCATCATGGAATGATACAGTCTTTAATGGTAGGTCTTTATATATATTTATTGACTTTTCATAATTCTGTGATATCAGTTGTTAGGATAAATTATAGACGCAGGCTTTCTAAAAAAAAACCTCTAGTCTAAATCCATATCAAATATAAACATGAAAATAACAGTAGAGTGTACTAACAGTTCGGTGTAATGGCTTGAGTTTGTGATTCATTAATTATAATAGAAACGATTATCTTTCCTGAGCTCATCAAGCAGTTTTTCAAATTCTATAACAGTTTGGACATTAATGACATGTTGCGGCAAATTGTTCAAAGGATCTACCACCCTGTATGTGAACAAATTCTTCCTGCTTTCAAGTCGACATCAATTTTTATAGATCTTCAAAGAATGGCCTCTGGTTCTTCTAGGAGTGTCCATCTGAAAAAAGTTCCCAGTTACCCTGCTGTCATATATACTTTTAACTATTTTAAAAACATTTATCAAATCTTCTTTCTTCTATGAACAAGTGTTGGAAGATTGAGTGTCTCCAAAAGTTGGGAATATGTTAAGTTCTTGAAACCATGAAGAAGCTTTGTTGCTCATCTCTGAACATTTTCAATTAAATTGATATCTTCTATTTTGAATGGATTCCATACACTTCCAGCATATTCCAAATGGGGTCTGACTAAAGCTTTAAACAGTTGTTTAAACATTGATTCGTCTAAATACCCACAAGATCTTCTAATAAGTCCAAATATATTGTTCGCTTTGTTCACCATTGAATGAATATGAGTTTTCAAGTCCTCATCTATTATGACACCAAGGTCCTTTTCGTGAGTTACATTTTCTAACTGAATCACTTTGCCTTCTGTTCCCCACACCGAATAGTTTCGTTTTCCATGGCACAATTGCCTGGCATATTTAAAGTTTACCCTGAAAGAGATTCTCCTTGTAAAATACCTCTCTCCAACTCTCCATCTTTACATTCTTTAAAATTGAATAATGTAATGGAGATGTTCTGCTTGGCTTCCTCAATAGGCTTTCGGTTGGTAAAGTATGCATCTTCTGCTTTATCGACAACACCTGCGATGTAAATCTTGGTCAATCCAAGTAATGTCACAAGTCTCAAATGAGAACCAGGTATACAACAACAGAACCAACAGGCAAACTAACGAGCATCAAACACATCCAGCTTCATATCACACAAAGGAATAGAAAATTTCTCATTGAGATCATTATGGTGACCATAAAATTCCTCATAGTTTTCGTCAACTTGAATCTTTTGAATAAAAGTTATTTGATCATGTTTAAAAATTCTCAGAAGGAGTAGAATATACCTAGCACAACTACAACATTCAGGCATTAAGACTTGATATTTCAAATCTCAAAAAAAAGTACTGAACAAACATTAAATGATAAAGCATAATTTGTTTACAATTTTTTTCAGCCCACATGGTCTCTCTGTCAACTTTTTGATACAAATTGCTACTAGTCATAAACAACTGACAGGATTTTGACCAGATTTAGTCAGAAGTATCCCTAAGGAAAGTCCAAATTTTGTATAGTCACAAGGGGTCTTCAGGGTGGGGCCAAAAAAGGGAAATTTTAGAATCCTACTTCTGTATGAATGATTGGATTTTGCCCAAAATTGGTGTGAAGCATTGATGGGTGAAGGGTAATCAATATTGTATAAATGGTGGGTCTCAACCCCCTGGTATGGAATGGGGAGGACCCAATAGGGGAAAAAGAGAGCAAATTCTTTGAAATCTTACTCTTCTTGTGGGAATGATTGAATATTTCCCAAAATTGGTCTGAATCATTGATTGGTGAAGTGGAATAAATTTTGTGTGAAAGTTAGTCTTGGCTCCCTAGGTTGGAAGGGTGGGACTCAATGAGAAAAAGGATCAAATTCTTTGAAATCCTACTTCTCCTGTAGAAATAATTGGATTTTGTCTACCATTGTATTTTTTTTATGTGAAAAGGAATCAATTTTCTATCAACCATGGGTCTCTGTCCCTCAGGTGGGAGGGGCAGGGCCCAAGAGAGGAAATGGAGCAAATTCTTTAGAATCCCACTCCTCCTGTAAGAAAGATTGGATAAAATTTGGTCTGAAGCATTCTTGTGTGAAGGGAATCAATTTTGGATATGGTAAATTGTGGGTCTTACCACAATCCATCATCTGTAAAAATGGCAGGATTCTGTATCAGTTTGGTTTGAAGCGTGGATTGTCTGGATGTCTGTGTAGGGACAGAGGGTTGGTACCCACGGGAGTCTATTTTATGTTGTGTGCTTGGATATCTAGAATTCCTTTAGTTTTGATGAAGCAATTACAGCAAAACCAAAGCCAGTTGATAGATAAAGGCCCACTGGGTCTGTTTTTATGAATTCAGGAAGTCAGTTAGCATCTTGTTATGATAAATGTAAGAAGACCTGTTCTAAACCCCTATGGAAAACATATCTTATCTTCAGTCTGTTTTCTATATTCATCAAGAAATACATTATTAATTGATTTTTTTTTATTTGCAGGGTCTCTTAAGGAATGATTTTCACTGGGATTCAAATTCATCTCCAAACAGAAATGAAATGGTACATGAAAGTGAAAAGAGTTTGGAGGAACTATTTTGTTAGTACAGACAATGACCAGGCCACGGTTCCTCGAAGAGTGGTCATGTCATAATGAGTTGTTCAATCTGTAACTAATGGTCAAATCTCGTTATTAACCTTGGGTTAGGCACTAACAATGGAGAGGCAACTTTCAGACGCAAGTGAACAACAAGGTGATAGTCGTCCATTTGATCCTACAGATGATATGTTTGGAGGTAAAAATGTTTTGCGGATGGAAATTCCAATTCAGAATATAGAAATAGACCAGGAGAAGGGAAAACCAAGATTAAATAAGAAAGATTTCAAATCTGAGATTTTTGAGAAAGTGATGGCATTAAGAAATTCTGGAGGTGGAGTTCTAATTATAAGAAATCAGAACTATGATGGAGTAGATAAAACCAATGACCCCTTGTACAAGGACCAGTTTACTACCATGGTGAGTGATGGAATGCAACAAATGGCTACATACAGAGGAGAGGTGGGTGAATTCCAGAGCTGGTACCGGTCAGTTTGGAAAGGGGATGGGAAATGGCTGCTCTATTATATTAAAGAAGGTCTACAGTTTACTTTTCCACTTGAATCAAAAGTTTACACTGTAAATGAGAACAACCACAGAAAAGTTGGAATTGAAGAAATACAAAGACGCTTGCTACAATCAACAAAAACACCACCAAACTATCACCCTAGTGTCACACATGTACATTGTGATGAAAAACATGGAAAATTGAGACTGGGAAAGAAATGTTCCTATCTGCATGAATCTACAAATATTCAGCTCAAGTCTTTTAATGATATCAATAGTATGTGTAAAAACATCAGAGAGTACACAACAGCATTTTGTCAAAACAAAAATGGAGGGAGCATGTGTTTTGGAATCGAAGAGAAACAAAACTCTGAAACGAAAAAAGGTTCAACTTGCAGTAAAACTCCTGTTGTTTGTGGAGTTCAATTCAATAAAGATGATGATGCTATTCGTCAGGAAATTAAGAAGACAATGTCAGAAAAGATGCTATGGATTAGACATAATGGAGAAAATGCAGATCCAGATGAAATATGTCAATATTATGATGTACGATTTCATAATGTAGATCCTGAAAACAGATCTAAAAAAGTTATTGAGGTTTCTGTGGCAAAATTTTATGGATGTGTGTTTTCTGATGAACCCAAACCATGTTATCTTGATGGAGGAGAGATAAAATACTACACGGTAAAGGAATGGGTACAGATATTGATGAAGGACCACCTGAAGGACTATAGTACGTACACATTGTATTCAATTTATTGTGTTGCTATACTTCTACTAGGTCATAGTGGGTATGCTACTTACTTAAGACCAGTGATGAGACTGATACTACCTCTATAAGGTTTTGTACATTTATTGGTGTCCAACGTCTCCCCATCATACATTATGTCACATTCCTTTCCAGCGTAGTTACAGGTTGGAGCAGATATCACACCCGTGGTACATGATGTCACATTCCTATGTACAATCGTTAGATCAGAATTGTAGGTCTCCTGTATAATTTATTAGAATGAACCTTAGAAATAATAATTCCTTGCAGTATAATGTGACTGGGCCTGATGTATAGAAGCAGTATTGATATGGGGGTTGATGTATCGCACTGATTTCTGGTTCAGCTTGGTACATTGTAGAATTGTCTTCAATACTGTTGATCTTAAAATCTGTGTGAAAGCATTGTTGTTTTATTTGCGGGTCTACCATCACACAAAGAAAACAAGACCAGTGAAAAAAGTCCACAAAAGCATTTAGGTTTGTTTAAGAACATGTTGTAGTATATTTATGTTGGAGTGAGTTCCATGGGGCTTATGGTTTTCTTTGGTACATGATGTCACATTCCTACGTACAATAGTTACTGGTTAGATCAGATGTGTAGGTTCTCCTTGGTACATGACGTCACATTCCTACTTACAATAGCTACTAGTTAGATCAGATGTGTAGGTTCTCCTTGGTACATGATGTCACATTCCTACTTACAATAGTTACTGGTTAGATTAGATTTGTAGGTTCTCCTTGGTACATGACGTCACATTCCTACTTACAATAGTTACTGGTTAGATCAGATGTGTAGGTTCTCCTTGGTACATGATGTCACATTTCTATGTACAATAGTTACTGGTTAGATTAGATTTGTAGGTTCTCCTTGGTACATGACGTCACATTCCTACTTACAATAGTTACTGGTTAGATCAGATGTGTAGGTTCTCCTTGGTACATGACATCACATTCCTACTTACAATAGTTACTGGTTAGATCAGATGTGTAGGTTCTCCTTGGTACATGACGTCACATTCCTACTTACAATAGCTACTAGTTATATCAGATGTGTAGGTTCTCCTTGGTACATGACGTCACATTCCTACTTACAATAGTTACTGGTTAGATTAGATTTGTAGGTTCTCCTTGGTACATGACGTCACATTCCTACTTACAATAGCTACTAGTTATATCAGATGTGTAGGTTCTCCTTGGTACATGACATCACATTCCTACTTACAATAGTTACTGGTTAGATCAGATGTGTAGGTTCTCCTTGGTACATGACGTCACATTCCTATTTACAATAGTTACTGGTTAGATCAGATGTGTAGGTTCTCCTTGGTACATGACGTCACATTCCTACTTACAATAGTTACTGGTTAGATCAGATGTGTAGGTTCTCCTTGGTACATGACGTCACATTCCTACTTACAATAGTTACTGGTTAGATTAGATTTGTAGGTTCTCCTTGGTACATGACGTCACATTCCTATTTACAATAGTTACTGGTTAGATCAGATGTGTAGGTTCTCCTTGGTACATGACGTCACATTCCTACTTACAATAGTTACTGGTTAGATCAGATGTGTAGGTTCTCCTTGGTACATGACGTCACATTCCTACTTACAATAGTTACTGGTTAGATCAGATGTGTAGGTTCTCCTTGGTACATGACGTCACATTCCTACTTACAATAGTTACTGGTTAGATCAGATGTGTAGGTTCTCCTTGGTACATGACGTCACATTCCTACTTACAATAGTTACTGGTTAGATCAGATGTGTAGGTTCTCCTTGGTACATGATGTCACATTCCTACTTACAATAGCTACTAGTTAGATCAGATGTGTAGGTTCTCCTTGGTACATGACGTCACATTCCTACTTACAATAGTTATTGGTTAGATCAGATGTGTAGGTTCTCCTTGGTACATGACGTCACATTCCTATGTACAATAGTTACTGGTTAGATCAGATGTGTAGGTCTCCCTTGGTACATGACGTCACATTCCTATGTACAATAGTTACTGGTTAGATCAGATGTGTAGGTCCCCCGTGGTACATGACGTCACATTCCTATGTACAATAGTTACTGGTTAGATCAGATGTGTAGGTCTCCCTTGGTACATGACGTCACATTCCTATGTACAATAGTTACTGGTTAGATCAGATGTGTAGGTCTCCCTTGGTACATGACGTCACATTCCTATGTACAATAGTTACTGGTTAGATCAGATGTGTAGGTTCTCTGTGGTACATGACGTCACATTCCTATGTACAATAGTTACTGGTTAGATCAGATGTGTAGGTTCTCCTTGGTACATGACGTCACATTCCTACTTACAATAGTTACTGGGTAGATCAGATGTGTAGGTTCTCCTTGGTACATGACGTCACATTTCCTACAATAGCTACAATCAGATGTGTACTGGTTATTTCTATCAATAGTTAGATGTGTAGGTTCTCCTTGGTACATGACGTCACATTCCTACTTACAATAGCTACTAGTTAGATCAGATGTGTAGGTTCTCCTCGGTACATGATGTCACATTTCTATGTACAATAGTTACTGGTTAGATTAGATTTCCTTGGTACATGACGTCACATTCCTACTTACAATAGTTACTGGTTAGATCAGATGTGTAGGTTCTCCTTGGTACATGATGTCACATTTCTATGTACAATAGTTACTGGTTAGATCAGATGTGTAGGTTCTCCTTGGTACATGACGTCACAATCAGTTTGACTCTATTACACAGTATTCTTAATAAAAAAAGAACTTTCATGCCATAATCTTCAATTGTGACAATCAAATAATGTTATTGATATTATTGAAAAGCACTGTTTGGATTTTCTTTTTTTAGAAATTGATGTAAATTTCTCTTTGTTGCTAAGTATGTATTATCCCTTTATCTAGGGTCTGATTACAGTAAGAAAATGACCAACAGTTGGCCAGCTTGAATTTTGTCAATTTCTTTGTTATCATTCCTTCTTGAAGCTCTTGATGGATTATTCTCTAGGTCCATAAATATAGGTTTCTTAAACCCCTTTCTTGTAGAGTGTCCAAATTGGGGGGTGACGGGTAGAAAAAAACATTAAAAATTGGTTAGACTTTGACTGTTTACTCAAATTACACCAACTAGTACAAAGTAGAAGACATTGCTTGTTCACATGCCAATATTGTATGCTCCCATATGTATGAAAACAGAGGTAAAAACCAACTTAGCATCTGCATTACTGATTTACATAATGATGTTGGCACATCCATCCAAATGAAATATGAATACCTTCATGTTGTATTGAAGAATTCTATATAAAATGTTACAACGAGAAATAGTGTTATCAGTTCCATTTCATTGAAAATTAAGCCTTCAAACTTAGGAACTATAAAAAATACTTTGTAAGTATGCATATATCAGTTCTGTTCTGTCTGCCAAAATGCTGGGACAGATGGACAGGTTCTAAAACTGTCCAAAGAACTGAAGACCGCCCACAAGCCTCTTGTTCTTAAACCTTTTGGAAATAATTCATCTGATTTAAATCCAACAATGCTATTGTACCTTTTGATTGTGAATTTCTTATTTTACAGAAACTACAGAAATCCATGCTGACTTACGACCCTTGATAGGTGAGTCTAACACCAATTTGACAGGTTGTGATGTGAGAAAATACAGCAGATCCCTAAGAGTCGGGGTCAGAGCAGGCCTGATGCATCATAATTAGAATAAGATTTGATAATTTCATTTTGACAGATATTTAAACCTTATGAGTCTTGTTTTGGTGAAAGTTTTTGCCTCAAAATGTTTTCAGTGTTGTGTATTATAAAAAAAGCTACTGTACAGACTTAGTCTATACACTTTAGTATAGTGAAATTTTAGTTAAGTATAAGATGATAAATTGCCAGAACTTGATCCTTATTGTCTTCAGACCTAAATCTGTAACTATTATGATGGAATTGATGGTAAGATTTGGTGATTTGTGATAGTCATAGTTGGTTATTGCATCTGGCCCGTAAGGGTCAAGTAGGATATTGAAATACTGCAGAGATCAACTTTTCACACAAAGCTGTACTAGGCATGAATGACTGAGCAGATTTTGAGTCCAAATTCAGTCAGATGCATCCTTTGGTATAAAAAGTGGGTCTGAAATCAAGCTAATCTTTGACAATCCTTCTACTCTAGGAATGATTGTCCAAATTTGGTATCCAGCATTCCTCAGTGATGGGGAGTCAGTTTTGTATAAACATTGGATCTTTTCCCCTGAGGCATTCTGAGTAGGGCCAGTTAAAGGAAATGCAATATAGATTAAAATTCCTTAAAATTCTTCTTCCTCTTTAGGAACGTCAGGATTCTGTCCCAATTAGCCTGAAACAGCTCAGGGTAAAGGAGAAACAATTTTGAAAAAGCTGTGGGAGGGATGTTGCCCAATAGGGATATAAAGCAAATTTTATAAAAAAAAACTTTACTTTTTCTGTAGGAATGTCAGAATTTTGTCCCAATTTGATATAAGGTATACTAGGGTGAAGGGAAATTAATTTTATAGAAAATGTGGGTCTGAATTCCCTGGAGTAAGAGGGCTGGGGCCAGGTAGGGGAAAACTAAAATTCCTTCTGTCAGAATGCCTGAATTCTGTCATCAGGTCTGAAACTTCCTTGGATGAGTGGGAATCAATTGGATATAAATGGTGGGTCTCTGCCTCTTTGGGCAGGAGGGGTAGCGCACAATTGGGGAAATAGAACAAATATTTAAAGTATTTCTTTTGTAGGAATGTCAGGATTCTGTCCTGCTTTTGGGTCAAGCATGCTTGAGTGAAGGAGACTTATATAAATGGTTTGGCTGACCTCTTGAGGTCAAAGTGGTTAGGCCCAATGGGGAAATAAATGTAAACATTTTCTTTTAATTCGGAGGAATCAGAATCAGTCAAACAAAGTCAGCTGAGTGATACAGGCCCTATGGACCTATTGTTGATGGTGCTTCTGGAGAAGTGATTGATGAATCATTTTCAAATTGAAGGTATCCTTGGTCCCTAGTTCTAATTGTGCCTAGTCCATTTTGCGACTGATTAGAGTAAAAATAGCCTACAGGTGACCATCTTGGCTTTTAGCATGTTGTCATCAGATGATGGCCAATTAAGAAGTCCTTCCTTTGTCTGTCATCCGTCTGTCCTTAAACCATTCTCATTATTGCTACTTATGAAGAAGTACTGGATGGATAATTTTGAAATCTCATACTTAGTTCCTCTTGGTCCCTATTTGTGCTTAGCCACATTTGGGACTGATTTTAAAGACAAAATGGCGGAATGGTGGTCATCTGATTTGGACAGTAACACATTGTTATTGCCATATCTGGAAAAACGGTTGATGAATAAAACTTTACATGTAGTTTCCCTTCTATCCAGAGGTGTTCATTGTCCCATTTTGGGACTGATTCAAAAAACAGTGACAAGCAGGATTTTGACAGTAATATGCTTTTGATAGCAAGAAACACTAAATTTGCAATCTTCCAGAAATTATAGGACATATTGGAGCTATACAGGTATAGCAGATTGGTTATGAAAAACACATCCTTAAAATTATATATATTTATAAACCACATCACAGTTACAGTTAGAGAAATAAAAATTGTGAAAACAGAAAAATTGCCCTGATTTCTGACTTGTAATTGTAATAAACATGTTTACCATCTTAAAAATGAAAATATATTGCCAGTTTCAACCCAAAACAACACCTTTACAGTATATTATATGTGACATACAAACAAATTTTATAACTTATAGAAGTCTTGTTAGTGCTTATCTTCTTATTAGCTTTACACAGTTAACATCACATTTCTTTTCTTACAGACCAAACAGTACTCAGGATCAAGGGAGAAAAAAAGGAGAAGTTCTTTGAAACCAAAGCTTTCCATGATATTCAAGAGAAACTCAGAAAGAACAGAGTCATAATGATCAAGGGTAACACAGGAGACGGCAAGACTTCAACTGCCATTCAACTCATGGATTGGCTGATCAAGGAACAGCCATGCAGACAACCTCTTCAGCTTCATAATATCAAGAAATTAGATAAATTGTCTCCAGACTTGAATCTGGTTACTTTTATTGATGATATTTTTGGAGAGGAATATGAGGTCCGAGAATGGAACAAGAGAATCAATTATGTTAAAACAATTTTTGGTGATGAACAAAGCAAGCCCAATTTTTTGCTTGTTACTATTCGTAATGAAGTATATAATGTTTTGCAAGAGCGGTCTTTGGGAGCACTTTTCACTGAAGATAACATCATTGATCTTAGTTCAGATAAGTACAATACAGCAGACGAAAGAAGAAACATTTTAGAGTTGCATAAACCAAATGGGAATTTTTCGTGGAAAGATGAAGAAAAAGAAAAAATTATAAATTCTTCACCCAAAATTGGATTCCCTCAGTGTTGTAAACTTTTCAATAATTCCAAAGAATTGCAGAAAAGACGTGTCCAATTTTTTGAGAACCCTGTTGAATTTATTGCTGAAGCATTATCAAGATTATCCGAAGGTTCTGTCATATTGTTTCTTTTTCTCAATGGAGGGGAGATAAAAGTTAAGGATCTAGACCCAAACAGTGATAAAATCAACAAAACATTGTTAGAAGAATCATTTGCTATTAGTATGAATGATGGTGAGGATGACAGAACCTCATTGACTTACAAGAAAAAAATAGGATTTGTAAAAGAAGGTTTAGACAGATTACTAGGATTTTTAGTTGTGAAGGAGAAACGTTGGTCTGGTGATGAAGTATACAGATTTAATCATGATTCTGTACATGTCACAGTAGCTCTTTTGTATTGGAACAAAACACCAGTTGGTTATATACAGAATTGTCCTGTGAAATCCCTCGATTATCTTACAATCTCAGAAAAATCCTCAAACAAGATTGTCATATCAACTGATTATTATACATGTTTGGGTGAACGTATTCTCCGAGAGTTTGAGCTTCAGACTTTTGATGTTACTATTGGATCTCTAGATGTTTGGAAGAATCAGATATTTGTTGAAAGATTTTTCAGGTTGGTAAATGAGAGAAATGTTGGTAAACTTGTGTTAAATGAAGCATGCTCTTATGGTGCAAAAGAATGTGCTTTATATCTTCTGAACCAGGGAGTCAAACCTGACAAGGACACCGACTGGTGGTCATTGATAACAGGAGGTTGGTTTGGTGGTAATGAGGGAGATGTGGATGTACTTGAGAAAGTTGTGATATATCTGGATGACAAGAGAAAACTTGACATGTTCAATGAAGCATGCTTCTATGGTGCAGTAGAATGTGCTTTATATCTTCTGAGTGAGGGAGTCATACCTGACAAGGACCCACAATGGTGGCCATTGATTTCAGGAGGAATGTTTGGTGATGGTAAGGGAGATGAGGATGCTCTTAAGAAAGTTGTTCAATACCTGAATGATGAAAGAAAACTTGACTTGTTCAATAAAGCATGCTTGTCTGGTTCAGTAGAATGTGCTTTATATCTTCTGAGTGAGGGAGTCAAACCTGACAAGGACCCAAAATGGTGGTCATTGATAACAGGAGGAATGTTTGGTGGTAAAGAGAGAGATGTGGATGTACTTGAGAAAGTTGTGATATATCTGGATGACAAGAGAAAACTTGACATGTTCAATCAAGCATGCTTGTATGGTGCAGTAGAATGTGCTTTATATCTTCTGAGTGAGGGAGTCATACCTGACAAGGACCCACAATGGTGGCCATTGATTTCAGGAGGAATGTTTGGTGATGGTAAGGGAGATGAGGATGCTCTTAAGAAAGTTGTTCAATACCTGAATGATGAAAGAAAACTTGACTTGTTCAATAAAGCATGCTTGTCTGGTTCAGTAGAATGTGCTTTATATCTTCTGAGTGAGGGAGTCAAACCTGACAAGGACCCAAAATGGTGGCCATTGATTACAGGAGGTGATGATAAGGGAGATGAGGATGTTCTTAAGAAAGTTGTTCAATACCTGAATGATGAAAGAAAACTTGACTTGTTCAATAAAGCATGCTTGTCTGGTTCAGTAAAATGTGCTTTATATCTTCTGCATGATGGAGTCAAACCTGACGAGGACACACAATGGTGGCCATTGATTACAGGAGGAGGGTTTAGTTATTGTAAGGGAGATGAGGATGTTCTTAAGAAAGTTGTTCAATACCTGAATGATGAAAGAAAACTTGACTTGTTCAATAAAGCATGCTTGTCTGGTTCAGTAGAATGTGCTTTATATCTTCTGAGTGAGGGAGTCAAACCTGACAAGGACCCACAATGGTGGCCATTGATTACAGGAGGAGGGTTTAGTGATGGTAAGGGAGATGAGGATGTTCTTAAGAAAGTTGTTCAATACCTGAATGATGAAAGAAAACTTGACTTGTTCAATAAAGCATGTTTGTCTGGTTCAGTAAAATGTGCTTTATATCTTCTGAGTGAGGGAGTCAAACCTGACGAGGACACACAATGGTGGTCATTGATTACAGGAGGAAGGATTAGTGATGGTAAGGGAGATGAGGATGTTCTTAAGAAAGTTGTTCAATACCTGAATGATGAAAGAAAACTTGACTTGTTCAATAAAGCATGTTTGTCTGGTTCAGTAAAATGTGCTTTATATCTTCTGAGTGAGGGAGTCAAACCTGACGAGGACACACAATGGTGGCCATTGATTACAGGAGGAATGTTTGGTGATGGTAAGGGAGATGAGGATGTTCTTAAGAAAGTTGTTCAATACCTGAATGATGAAAGAAAACTTGACTTGTTCAATAAAGCATGCTTGTCTGGTTCAGTAAAATGTGCTTTATGTCTTCTGCATGATGGAGTCAAACCTGACGAGGACACACAATGGTGGCCATTGATTACAGGAGGAAGGTTTGGTGATGGTAAGGGAGATGAGGATGTTCTTAAGAAAGTTGTTCAATACCTGAATGATGAAAGAAAACTTGACTTGTTCAATAAAGCATGTTTGTCTGGTTCAGTAAAATGTGCTTTATATCTTCTGAGTGAGGGAGTCAAACCTGACGAGGACACACAATGGTGGCCATTGATTACAGGAGGAATGTTTGGTGATGGTAAGGGAGATGAGGATGTTCTTAAGAAAGTTGTTAAAAACCTGAATGATGAAAGAAAACTTGACTTGTTCAATAAAGCATGCTTGTCTGGTTCAGTAGAATGTGCTTTATATCTTCTGCGTGATGGAGTCAAACCTGACGAGGACACACAATGGTGGCCATTGATTACGGGAGGAAGGTTTAGTGATGGTAAGGGTGATGTGGATGTTCTTAAGAAAGTTGTTAAATACCTGAATGATGAAAGAAAACTTGACTTGTTCAATAAAGCATGCTTGTCTGGTTCAGTAGAATGTGCTTTATATCTTCTGCGTGATGGAGTCAAACCTGACGAGGACACACAATGGTGGCCATTGATTACGGGAGGAAGGTTTAGTGATGGTAAGGGTGATGTGGATGTTCTTAAGAAAGTTGTTAAATACCTGAATGATAAGATTAAACTTGACCTGTGGATTAAGGTGTATTATTCTGGTTCAGAAGAATGTGCTTTATTTCTTCTACAGGAGAAATCACAATGTCCTACATCAGGGGTGTAAGTTATGGGGAAGAGGAGAGATTTTCATACTTGCCCACAATTAACACATTATTCTAATAATAATGACTATCCCCACTTGAGTTGCGGCAGAGACTGTGCTATGTTCCAGACAGTGGAGAAAACTGCTCTTAAGAACGTGTGTAAGTGTGAGACATTAGACTGACAAGTTGTACAGTGTTGTGTTTGCCAAGTACATGTCTTAATTTGTGGATAATAAAAGACGTACTGTATTACATAGGACTTGTGGGAGAGAAAACAGAGATATGCGAGACCTTCCTATTGCTGGCCAAATGTGTAGGTGACCATGGCCATCGTTTTCTGTATTACATAGCTGAGTGTACAGATGATGTAGCCTTTTTATATCAGAAACGTACATGACAGGGAGGGAAAACCTGAGCTACACTTGATGAAGGACAGAGAAAGATGAAGAGTTTAGGTTATGTAGGAACCCTCAGTATGATCATGTAGCCATAGTCGTTTGTAAATAAAAACATTTTAAAATATCCTCTGATTATTAGTTTAAAACCTTTACACCTGACTACTAGTTCACAACCCAGGTGATGTTGAGATGTTTTTATGCATATATATGATGATTTTTCTGTACAAGTTTGATGATCTCATTTGTGTTCTGATAAACAATAAACTTCTCGTAGGTTCGAATGACTTTGTATTAACTGGAAAATGTTACTGAACAAGGGAAATTTAAGGCACAGATTAGGTTTTAACTGTTGGAAGAATATATAGATTATGTATAGAATGACAAAACTTCTGTTGTATGATCCTTTGAACAGAAATATTGAAACATTTTTGTGTTGCATGACAAACAAGATTGAGGCATTGTGCATATTACAGCAGTGAAAGTTGTGACTATGATACCTTGTTCATGGTGTATTTTTTCTTGTTTTTCTCAAGTTTGATTGATGAAACATTCAATCATTTACATTCTATGGAGATATGTTGTATCCTTATTTAAAAATATATATATACATGTATATATATGTAGGGGGGAGGAGCTTATGGGTGATTAGTTATTACAATTTTTTGTTTTGAAAATGATTTTTAGCTTGCATTGCACATAGTGTCATTGAGTGTATCTTTTGATGAAGGTTCTGTCATCCATCTGTCCACCCGGCAACTTTTGTCTTCATCTGGAAAACTATAGGCAACTTTGGACTGGTCTAGGTACCTGGGTTGGAGTAACACTTCTTTGCCTCGTTAATATGGATGTCCTTGCCCTACTTTCAAGATCATAGGGGTCAAATCATGTTCCAGAAGGTCCATGAACTGATATTTTGCCAGTAGGTACCAAGGTTGGATTGCTGTAGTGCTTGTATAAATGACCTTGACTTACTTTCAGGGTCATATGAATTGTATATCTTTTGAAATGTTTTGAAAGGCAGGACACTGGTTAATTAAAAAAACAGGTACCTGGGATTGAATGCTACAGATTTTTCTCAGATGTTTCAGTGATAATTTGATATTGATTATCAAATCTAAATTTATATACAATGTGTTGCCATGCTACTTACCGATAACTAGATTGTGTATATATGTAGAAAATATACAGCATCCAGAATATGTCTGTGTATATATGTATGATTTAAAGGATGCTATTGATTGACAAGCCAGTATCCATTCGAGAGAATACCCTGCTATGGATTTTTGAGCCCCTACTACATAGTTTCCACAGTTATTGAAGATGATCAATGTGCTTTCCCAACCATCATCCCCTTCTGCACCCTCGGTTGTTTACATTGATTATTTGATGTGTATCTTTTTTTCACAATTTGTTGTTTTATTCTTGTTATTTGTAGTATCACAAGTATGCTTATTATGTAAATATGTATATAGATTAAATCTTTTATAATGTTAGTACACAAGGGGGATTACTGTTGGAGGAAACCATGCAGTACTGATTGAAAACCCTCAAGATAGGGCAGATGACCCTCTACATAGTGAGTGTAAGGTATCATTACACTCCTTTATATTGCTAGTATGAGATTTGATGATAGGTATTGTTACTCTTGTTGCATACGGATGTAATATTTTAGGCTGGTTGGTCTCCTGAATTTAATTGGCTACTCGCTCTGACCTTTTTGTTGGATTTTAGCTCATGCGTGTAAATTCTGGGGAATTTGGGAATCTTATAATACATTATTTCACCACAACATTATGTTCCAGCTAAAATATCATATTTCATATTGAGAGCCCAGGTTGTATTCAGCTTCTTTGATCATACTTAACACGGTCAAGCCACCTATTGAATATTCTATTTCTCATGCACCTTCTTCAAGGTCACTTGCAGAGTCTAGTAGCTTTTTTCTGAAATCCTCCAGGGTCTAGTTGCTTCTATCTTTTGTGAATTTTCGCACTTTTAGCTGCTCTGGGACACCTCAGAGTCTGATGATTAATTGAAATTAGTGGATTAGTAAGTAATTTGTTTTACTGGAGTAGAGCGAGTAGCCCCTGATAAGTAGATTTTATGTTTAATAATTGTGAAGTTATCAACAGGTGAACCTGTGCTTGTGTGTATTGATGTATATATAAAACAGGGGTGAAATTTGTTAATGAATAAAACACCTCTTCTTCAAAACCAGAGTATCAAGAACAGCCATTACTTGTTATGTATCATGAATGCCGAAATTATACTGCGGAATCAGATTCATGGGATTCCATTTTCATCATTTTCCAAAAACATACTCTTTGGAGGACACTTGATGTCATTGATAAATATTGCTTAATGAGTCTGCTTATATTTATTCCAATAGTTCAAAGACATGAGTTTCTTGGATTAAGAGCACCCATTAATTCAACGAATGTAAATCCCTAAGGAAAGTAAATTATTGTGAAGTATATCATTTGGCAAATAATAAAACATACAATTGTTTTGGAATTATTTTCTTCAATAGCTGTCAGAGTGGTTTAGGTCCTCTTAGCCTTTTTGTGTTTTAATTAGTGATATTTTCAATGTTTTATGTATTAAAAGTGAAGTTGTTATCCAATGCACATTACAGGATTTTTTTTCTTCAATTTTAAAAAGGACTTATGTACTACATGTAATAAGTTTTTGTTTGGAAAATAGAAAATGCAATGAATATTTTGATTTTTTAGCGGAAGGTCAAAGCTATTTGATATCAAGCAACGATATATCTGGTGCTTCTTGATGCGTTTAGAGTCAGAATATCCTTAAGGCCTATGGACATATTTTTTGATAACTTTTTATGAAATTTTCATGTGTCTCTTGTTTGTTTTGTTTTTAATTTGATGTGTTATTGATATGAACACATTAATGTTATGACTGAATCAAGGTCGATAACTCCTGTGTATTTTTTATATTTCCATGCCTGAAAAATGTTGGTCTTAAGTACTACAATTTTTACAGAATGGACAATTTACAATATGTGGTGTTTTTCCTATTTGTATATAGATGTTTATATATGTGTGTTAACACATTCATACTGTGGTATTTTTTGAAGAAATGTATACATGAACTCACGTTTTCTTGTTGAATGTAAATATGGATATTAAAATTATTAAGATATATTTGATATATAAATAAAAACACCATGTCATGCTCAAATTTGCCAAAAATGATCCTAAAATTGTCATGACTAGGTGTTGTTATTTTCAGGTCGGTCTGAAATTCAATATGGCTGTCATAACAGCCATCTTGAAAAAGACATGTTTAATTTCTTAAGTTCTGCTGATGACTTAAAACTGAAATGTAGTGAAAATGTTGAGAAACTGATACAAAAAAAATGTATTATCTATTTTTACTGCTTAAGTTCAAAACTGTTTTAATCGTTTAAACAACTGATGACACTACCATTACTTCTATTATATCATGTATAGGTCTTAAGAGTCAGAAGACCATTCAGGCCCATGGACCTCTTGTTTGATAACTTATTCTGAAATTTACTAGTCCATCAACAGTGTGAATAATTTAGTGACATGCAATGTTTTGGCAATATTCTGGGTCTTTTGAGAAATTTCTTTAGAGAAGAAAATAATTTTTGAAGAAATCATTTTAGCAATGTCATTCAACTGCACAAGTTTTAAAAAGTTGATTTCTTCAAGTACTGGAATATGATAAATAAATAAATCTTAGTTTTTTTTATCTTATTTTATACATAATTCATACTATGATTACACAAACATGAAAGGTAACAAGCATGTTTTAAATGTTTTGAAAAATTTCTTCTAAGGAAGAAACTATTTTTGTGAAAGAATAATTTTAACAGTATCAATCAATTGCATTAAGTCTTTCTTACATCTATTAGGGCCATCTGATCCAAAAAGTGTTTCTTCTGTCATAGTGTGCTGTCCGCCACATGTTAACTTTTGACATTTTAAACTTCTTAAGGTCCAACAATGGAGCTGAGTTGGAACTTGCTCAAAATGATCTCAAGATGGTCCTGACCAAGGGTTGTTGTTTCTTAATTACAAAAGTCAATATGGCAATCATGGCCGCCATCTTGAAAAATATATTTTTAACTTTTTGTCAAGTTCCAGTGATGCTATTGAACTGAAAATTGGAAGGAATGCTAAGGGAGGGAATCTTATAAAAGGGTTGTTATTTTTCAGCCTTGTCAAAAGTCCATTCTGGCAGCTGTGGTGGCCATATTGTAACATGATAGCACAATAATGATTCCTCTCAATAACATCTGTTTCAGACTTCTCAAGTTGTACAAGTGGGATTGGGCTGAAACTTGCTTGCAGTCATCCTTACAAGGTCGTGACCAAGTGTTGCTATTTTTTTAATCGGTCCAAAGTCCAATTTGGCCACCATTTTGAAAAACACATTTTAAAATTTCTTGATTCCCCTTGTGCCAATGAGCTTGAATTTGGTAGGAATGTTGAGAAACTGAAATGAGGCATGTTTTTTGCCTTTACTGCTTAACTATTCTAAACTCTTTTAATCATTTATTAACTGTTCCTTATATCACTTCTGTTGTATAAAGGTTTTTATAGCCAGATGACTATGAAGACTCATATGTCTCTTGTTTGTTTTGTATTTAATTTGATGTGTTATTGATATGAACACATTAATGTTATGACTGAATCAAGGTCGATAACTCCTGTGTATTTTTTATATTTCCATGCCTGAAAAATGTTGGTCTTAAGTACTACAATTTTTACAGAATGGACAATTTACAATATATGGTATTTTTCCTATTTTGTATATAGATGTTTATATATGTGTGTTAACACATTCATACTGTGGTATTTTTTGAAGAAATGTATACATGAACTCACGTTTTCTTGTTGAATGTAAATATTGATATTAAAATTATTAAGGTATATTTGATATATAAATAAAAACACCATGTCATGCTCAAATTTGCCAAAAATGATCCTAAAATTGTCATGACTAGGTGTTGTTATTTTCAGGTCGGTCTTGATTTCATTATGACTGTCATAACAGCCATTTTGAAAAAGACATGTTTAATTTCTTAAGTTCTGCTGATGACTTAAAACTGAAATGTGGTGAAAATGTTGAGAAACTGATACAAAAAAAAATGTATTTTCTATTTTTACTGCTTAAGTTCAAAACTGTTTTAATCGTTTAAACAACTGATGACACTACCATTACTTCTATTATATCATGTATAGGTCTTAAGAGTCAGAAGACCATTCAGGCCCATGGACCTCTTGTTTGATAACTTATTCTGAAATTTACTAGTCCATCAACAGTGTGAATAATTTAGTGACATGCAATGTTTTGGCAATATTCTGGGTCTTTTGAGAAATTTCTTTAGAGAAGAAAATAATTTTTGAAGAAATCATTTTAGCAATGTCATTCAACTGCACAAGTTTTAAAAAGTTGATTTCTTCAAGTACTGGAATATGATAAATAAATAAATCTTAGTTTTTTTTATCTTATTTTATACATAATTCATACTATGATTACACAAACATGAAAGGTAACAAGCATGTTTTAAATGTTTTGAAAAATTTCTTCTAAGGAAGAAATTATTTTTGTGAAAGAATAATTTTAACAGTATCAATCAATTGCATTAAGTCTTTCTTACATCTATTAGGGCCATCTGATCTAAAAAGTGTTTCTTCTGTCATAGTGTGCTGTCCGCCACATGTTAACTTTTGACATTTTAAACTTCTTAAAGTCCAACAATGGAGTTGGAACTTGCTCAAAATGATCTCGAGATGGTCCTGTTATGACTGAATCAAGGTCGATAACTCCTGTGTATTTTTCATATTTCCATGCCTGAAAAATGTTGGTCTTAAATTTACAATATATGGTATTTTTCATGATTTTTTATATATATGATAGAATGTGCGTAATATTCTTCCAGGCATGTGCACATCAACTCACATTTTCTTGTTGAATATGAATATGGATATCAAGATTAATAACATGTATTTGATATGATATCCAAAAAAAATCATTGAGAGATTTAGTGAAACAGAAAGATGTAGTATTATACCAGACATCTGCATATATTTAGATTGATGAATTTTTAAGTCACCTGAGACAAAGTCTCGAGGTGACCTATTGCGATTGCCTTTTGTCCGACATCATGCATCATAAACTTTTGACATTTTCTGCTTCTTTTGGAAAACTCCTGAACTGATCTCAATGAAATTTTACAAAATCGTAAACTATAGACTGAGGGGCAGGGCTATAAAACTGTCAAATTGATTGAAACTTCAAAAATCTTCTCAAATCCAAGGTATGGTAGATTCAAAAAGATAGATGGAAAAGCATTCAGATGCTTTACCAAAATTGTAAATTTCATGACCTCAGGGTCTCGCATTTCCATCTGGAGAGGGGATGAAGATTACTACAGTACATAATATAGGAAAATTACATTTTTTAACATAATATGTTTGTTTTCTTTTGGAAATAGTTCAGACTTGGTTAGGATTGTTAGTATAAGATGAAGGTTTGAGGAAAAGCACATATTGAACTTGGCTGACCCACAGGGAATGATGGGCAGGGCCAAAAACGGGTCAAATTGACTGAAATTTCAAAGATGTTCTCAACACCCAGATATGATTGTATCTATTTAAATCCTGTTCTTGGGTGGAAAAGTTTACATATTTAAAAATTACATTTTTGAAGCCTTAGCATAGGACAGCAGTTAATGTTATACACAGTTTACATTTGCATGTAGTTAAAATTATCTTTCTTTCTTAATAATATCATTTCTATGACTTGTTACAAGAAACATTGTAATTCAGGTGACTGTTAAGGCCCTTGGGCCTCTTGTGTGAGAACAAATTCAGTATAAAAATTATCATAAAGAATACATGACTTTTATTATCATTTCTTAGCTCTGTAAGATAATCAGCTTTACTAAGATGAAGAAGGTAAGTCTGACTGTAGTCTGTTCATCCTGAGTCAGCTTTGTATACCCCCAGCCCCTATCGAAGTCTGACTGTAGTCTGTTCATCCTGAGTCAGCTTTGTATACCCCCAGCACCAAGCGAAGTCTGACTGTAGACTGTTCATCCTGAGTCAGCTTTGTATACCCCCAGCCCCTATCGAAGTCTGACTGTAGTCTGTTTATCCTCAAGCAGCTTTGTATACCCCCAGCCCCTATCGAAGTCTGACTGTAGTCTGTTTATCCTCAAGCAGCTTTGTATACCCCCAGCCCCTATCGAAGTCTGACTGTAGTCTGTTTATCCTCAAGCAGCTTTGTATACCCCCAGCACCAAGCTAATTATGACTAGGCTGTTCATCCTGAGGCAGCTTTGAACACCCTCAGTACCAAGTGGTCTAAGGCATAAACCGTTATCGTTCATCTATCCATCTGTCATTCATGGTTAATAAATTCTGGTATTTATAAGTCTGTAATGCCCTAATATTGATCGAATGGCTTCTTTAGAACCAAACACTACTCAAAATAGAAAAAAAAACAGATTTTACCATTAACCTTCACCATCAAACACCATCTGTAAGATTTAACATCAAACTTCATCATCAAGCTTCATCATTAAGTTTCATCTTCAACCTCCATCAGTAAGAGTTGCTATTAAGCTTCATCAGTGAGCTTCACCATCAAGTTTCATCAGTACACTTCACTATTAAGCTCCATCAGTGAGCTACACCATCAAGCTTCATCAATACACTTCACCATTAAAAACCATCATCAAGCTTCATCAGTACGCTTCACCATCAAGCTTCATCAGTAAGCTTCACCACCAAGCTTCATCTGTACACTTCACCATCAAGCTTCATCTGTACGCTTCACCACCAAGCTTCATCAGTACGCTTCACCATCAAGCTTCATCAGTACACTTCAACACCAAGATTCATCAGTAAGCTTCACCACCAAGATTCATCAGTACGCTTCATCACCAAGCTTCATCAGTACGCTTCAACACCAAGATTCATCAGTAAGCTTCACCACCAAGATTCATCAGTACGCTTCATCACCAAGCTTCATCAGTACGCTTCAACACCAAGATTCATCAGTAAGCTTCACCACCAAGATTCATCTGTACGCTTCACCACCAAGATTCATCAGTAAGCTTCACCACCAAGCTTCATCTGTACGCTTCACCACCAAGCTTCATCAGTACGCTTCATCACCAAGCTTCATCAGTACGCTTCACCACCAAGCTTCATCAGTACGCTTCATCACCAAGCTTCATCAGTACGCTTCACCACCAAGCTTCATCAGTACGCTTCACCACCAAGCTTCATCAGTAACCTTCACCACCAAGCTTCATCAGTACGCTTCACCACCAAGCTTCATCAGTACGCTTCATCACCAAGCTTCATCAGTACGCTTCACCACCAAGCTTCATCAGTACGCTTCACCACCAAGCTTCATCAGTAACCTTCACCACCAAGCTTCATCAGTACGCTTCACCACCAAGCTTCATCAGTACGCTTCACCACCAAGCTTCATCTTTACTCTTCACCATCAAACACCATCAGCCCGACCCCAAAAGGAGAATGAATAGAACTAATTCCTTAAAATCCTATTTCTCTGTTAGGAATGATCACTAACATTTGGTCAGAAGTATCGTTTGGTGAAGGGAAATTTTGCAAGGTTTTTAAGATCCTACTCCTCCGATAGGAATGAATGAATATTGTCAAAATTTGATGTGAAACATTCTTTGGTAGAGAGGAATCAGTTTTGTATAAATGGTAAGTCTTGGCCTCCCTGTGGGAAAAGATTGGGCCCAAATAGACGAAATGGAGCAGATTCTTTTTATAAAATTGTACTCTTCCTGTAGTAATGATTGTTTTGAACTCAAATTTGGTCTGAAGTGTTCTTGGGTGAAGGGGAATCAGTTCTGTATAATCCCAGCCTCCTAGGACAGGAGGGGGTGATGCACTATTGGGGAAATTTAACTTCTTAAACAATCTGTCTTCCATACAAGGATATTGTCAACGTTTGGTCTCAGGGATATTTTATCAAAAGGGAAATCATATCAGAAATTGTTCGTCACATTTGAAGTTCTTTATTAAATGGCTGAATCGCTAAATTTTCCAGGTGACCGATGTAGGCCCCTTAGGCCTTTATTTAATCACGTTCTCGCTTGGTGTACTGTCTGGTTTATTAATGTACTTTAAAAAGGAGACGGATCATATAAAAATAATTTGAATCCGATTCTAATGTGTTGCTCTTATATATAGCCACAGTCTAATCACAGATGCCTACACACATACCGATATGGTTCACATACATAAACCTACACATCAGTAGACATTTGTGGGAAAATCCCTTTGGTATAATAGACATGACACACCAGGAACTATGGGCCTTTTGGTTTTCGTTAACATGAATTACGTCCCTTTCTACGCGCTCTTCATTGCGTGCAATAACAACACGTGTTGGAAACATTTAGTCAGACCTGTCCATCGCTCAAAAATGGTGCTACAGCGTGTTGTGTGAGTATTGTGCATGGAACCGTTGATAGATAACACATTTCTACTCCAATGAAATAGTTAAAGCGAAATGATTGCTTTACCGTGTGGTGTTTTAGGAAATAGTCCGGTGAAAATAGTGCAAAAAAGCGAATTAGGATTTCTCACAATTTAGCACTAAATCGACACAAATGGCAGATATATTATCGTTATAAAAATTGTGAGTGCTCATGATAACTGGTTAGTTGTGTAATAGGAAGGAAAAATAAAAAAAAAAAAACACTGTCACAGCTGGGTTTTGAACTATTGACCCTTCCGTCTCTAGCCAGACACTCTGCTACTTGACTCCAGGGAAATTCCCACTAGACGAGCTTAGTAAGGCCACCTGTACTCTCAACTTCTACACTACTCAGTCTTTCACGAAGTCTTCAACCCCAAAGACAACAATCAAGGTTCAATATCTCCAAGGAATCATCTCAATCACCAATATGTTGTACTCTTGGAATGTTCAACGGCACCAAATATGTAAAACACGTAGGAAGGAGTAATGAAAAACACTGTGGCACCGCTTGGGTTTGAACTAGCGATCCTCCTGCCTCTAGACTACTGCTTGACTAAAGGGGAAATTCCCTTTCCCTGTACTCTAAACTTCAACCGTTGATTATCGTAAACATAAGTTGTCGATTTCTTGAAGTCTAATAGAATATGCTATCCATGAAGATTCCTGTTTTCTTGAATAGATGTCACTGTGAATATTTTCTTCTCATTTCCCATATTTTGCTTTAACTGATGTTTTGTACCTTCAGGTATACAGTTAAGGTTATCATGTACAGAGTGTTATGGTTCTACACATTGTTAATTTAAACATTTTTATCATCCATACACTAAATATGAGTATTGTTCCATTTTAAGTCAATTAAGCATGTGAACATTGACAATATGTTGATATGTTACTAGAGTGAGATATCAGTGAGAATTTCAACAGTACAGGTTTCCTCTGATCGTTATCATTTGCTGTCAGCTGACTATATTTGGATTGCATTTGTCTTCATATCACATTGCTTTGTTTACCAAAAAATAGAAAAATCGAAAGCACTTATCATTGGTAAGGAAGGCTGGCAACAATTCTGAATGGCAGTTATTTGTAACAGTCAGCATTGTTTTGATACAGAGCATCCATGTAGTAGCAAATGACTACCTCATGGAACAACATACAGGAGGCCCATTGCATGCAGTCCAGAGTAATTAGGGTAGTGTCATGGCCAAGGGCAAAACCACAACAGCAAAGACCAGTTAACATCTCAGCTTTAATAAACACAAACTGCCACAGGATGGAAGCATTGAAACCACAAATTTTCATCCAATAATAGCCTATGCCATCATTCTACCGGCTGTGCTGTTGCAGCTCCTAATTTGTTCCAACTATTTTGTGCTTTCAGAAAACCGAAAACCCAAAAGGGTAAGCGGTTCTTGGAAGGAAGGGAACCAAAAATTACAGAAAATACAAAGAATGCTATCTTTGTTAAGGGTGGCAACACCAGTATGACTGTTACCCAAGCTATGAAAGAATTGGTAAGAAATGATGTCATACTATATTCTGTTTCTCTTAATGGATTCTAATTGAGTACTGTGTAATTAAAATAAAGTTAGTATGATATTAAAGTTTAAAGTTTTTCTTCTAAATATGTTTTTGAAACATTTACTTCTTGTTGTTAATGTCAATAGAACCCAAGATCTTATAGAACAACCAGTAGAAGATTTCATCGCAACATGTTGATGACTTCACTGTCACCACAAAGTGTATTATTTAAAACTTTCCCGAATTTTTTTTTTTTGTGTGTGTGTGAGATTTGCATATTTAGAAATGATATTGGGAATATCTGTCTCATTTGGTGCTCCAGTTCCAGGATACCACAATATCAAACATTTCAGTGAATGGAATGCATGAATGTTTTTACATTACAATGACTACTGTAAAATAAATTTTGAGCATATTATGTTTTTCTTTTCCAGTATCTCCTTAAGAAACCAAACGCAGTATCCTACAAAAGGTAACTACATGTATTTATAGTAACAGTTGTTCCTTATCGTCTTCATGCTCAGAGAATAAAAATTTACATTCACCCTTCCTGTATCTGAAGTATACAATTTATTCTTTAAAAAAATAGAACTTTTTGAAAATTCTTGTTACATCTGATAAGTGATTTTGGCATCTTAGTCCTTATATTGTGCAAGTTCTTTTATTATAATTTCAATATCTCTGTTGTGAATATCTGTTTGAAATATTATAACATATGATTTTTTTGAACATCCATCTTGCAACGTTGCTTTTTTAAACTTTATTGAATTGCCTCTTGTTCTGGAGGAGGTATCAATTTGAAGTAATCCTTCTGTTATTTCTTCATCATATTTTTTTTTCTTTTTTTCATGCAGAAAAAATATTTTACGGCCTTTTGAAGATGAAACTCCACTTGTAAGTTTACCTGATGATTAAAAAAAATGAAATGAATATTATTTGTTTCCAACTATTGTTCTTTCAATCCCTTGCACCCCACCCCTCTCCTACCTACAATAAAAAGAAAATAGATAAATTAAATATAGGTGTATTTCTGTTTGTCTTTCTGATCCAGATTTGAGATGATATTTAATCAGTAATGAATCCCATAGACATACTGTTTCCATTTTTATATAAATTATTCAAGGATTATTTATACAGAAGGTACTTTTTCCCCCACAACTTCTTCCTCACAACTTCCTCTCTGCAACAACTCCCTGGTTCACTGTTGAAATGTTTCAATTGTTTTTTTACTTTTATCACTAATATTAATGTACATTTCTTCTTGTTTTTTAATAAGTTGCTAGATTTAATTTCTTTTTCTCTTTTTTTTTCTCTCCAGGAATTTTTTGCCAAAAAGAGTGATGCTGCCTTGTTTGCTTTTGGCTGTCATTCCAAGAAGCGACCAGATAATCTTATTTTAGGTTTGTTTATGTTTTATTTTAATGCAGTCACTTAAAGACAACAACATATTACTATCAGTTTGTGTTTCAGAAAAGGTTTTCTACCCTTGTACGTCTGCCTTGCAATGAACCTGAAAGGGTGTGGGGTATTGCAATCATGCACGCCATCCGTCCGTCTGTCTGTCCACAATTGCATACTGCTTATTATCTCAAAAACTACATCACCGGTCATCACCATTTTCACTGGGGATGTTGGGCCTATGGACCTACCCAACCCATTCTTGAGATAACTTTCCACTCACCACAACCACACATTTCCTACTTCATAATAAGGCTGTGGAGTATTGCCCGTGTTTGCGGAGCTATTTTTTCCTTACTATGATAAAGAAGAAAACACCATGACAGGATGTCAAGAGTAACAACAGCTGATCAGTTGTGAGAAATATCAGTTTTGAGATGGTGCACTTTTCCCAATGAAAAACAATCACCGTATTTTAACATTTAAATAAACCCAATAAATTATTGACTTAAAATTGATTTAATACAAAGCTCTGAGTGTACTTGAATATTGATCATCTTTGAATGGTTGTTTGGTGCATTGTTATTGGTTAATCCTAAAAATGTCTGTATTAAAATAGTTTTTGTTTTGCAGGACGGATGTTTGATTTCCATATACTAGATATGTTTGAGTTGGGGATTGAGAATTTCAAGTCCATGTATGAGTTGCAGGTGAGCTAAAAAAGATCAAAATAACAGTACTTGTGAAACCTAATCCTCAAGCATTTTCATATCCCTCACTGGCGTAAGGGGGAGTAATCCATTCATGCAAGGTGTACAAGATATCTTATAAATGGATGGATAGATCTATTTCTGGAGTATGATTTTGTTGAACGATCAACCTTGACCACTTCAGATATAAAAAGCTTGTGCACAATTTAGCTCATATTTACTCTGCAGCGTCACAGTATTAAGTTCTACACCAGATTGAAATTTGGAGGCCATCAGTCAAAGTTAAAGGTCAAAGGTGAAAGTTCACCCTTGAACATCTCAACAGATTCAGTTAAAAATATAAAGATTAGGGAATATGGCTTTAATCGTATGATTGCCTGCTCACTTTGTTTTTATTTCTTGTGCATATTTTCCACCTTAAATACTACCTCTGAGATGTTTTCTTGAATGTGTAATATGTTTGCTTTCAATTACAATAATTAAACTGCATATGGGCGATGTCCAGAGAGATGTGAAGGAATGTTACAAAACAGGGAGGATTCGACTTTCAACAAAATGAGATAAAAATAGACTCCATGTGAAATTAAAAGCAATATAATCGATAGCAGTGTTTATTTAAGAGAATGACTGCACTGATAAACTTAATAATTTTAATTTAGAATTCTTCGTCAGTATCAATACTTACTGGCAGTCATATAATTTGTAAGGGTTTTTCCATTGGAATACTTAAGCCACCATTTGTTATTCATACCGACTGTGAATGTCAAGTGATGGCAGCTGGTTCTTTCGTGATAACATTCACTATTGAAATAAATGAAAAGAAGATTAATTTGGGTATGGCATTTATAATGGAGATAAATGCCACCTGAATTTGGTAGTGTTATAGAGGCCTTGTATGTGGGAGAAATACTAACTGCCTCAGATAGGGAACATTAAACCTCACGCCTCAGATCTTCATCTGGTGTATAGTCGAGCAGCGACTGCCGATAGAAACATGTTGAGTCACTACTTAGTGTGAATGCTGCCATTTAAAAATATATGCTTGAAATATTCTAAATTAAAAAAAAATTAATGAGATAACTTTTTCATAGGGAGCAAAATGCAACATGGGTAGCAAGCCTTGTCTGCTGTTTGCTGGGGAAGCTTTTGACCAAGACTTGGAACATAAAAGGTTGAAGAATCTTTTTATTGGTAAGTTTTATGTAATTAGTCTAAGGGTCCAAGACACGACTCAAGATAGAAAGTTGGCATATTTAAAGACAATGTCAAAGTATTTCTTTGCATTTTTACTGGCTGGCAGTAAACATCATCCGTTGGCTTATTACTGGACATGGGTATTTTACCAGATAAATAAAATATTGAATTGTCAACACAGAAAAACAACAAAGAAGATACTGACATGTCAACAGAATCTTATTCAAATTTCAATTTGATGGATAAATGGCAAAAAATGAACAAAAGAAAGATTTACAAGTAGGCCCCAGAAAAAGTACAAGGGTAAGACAAGGTGTTCCAGAAGGGTATACATCTTCTGCTACATCAACCACACTTGCTATGTAAATCTTGGTCGATCAAAGTAAATAATGTCACATTCTGGAAATAAGAAGTTAAAAAGGACGAGTCAATGAATAACAAGCTGTTTATGCTGATATCTAACATTTGATTAAAACATTTGTTTGATATGATACCATCACCAAAACATATTATAGCCCAACTTCTTTAAAACAACTGAATAAACTTGGAAATTGATATACAAACTATATGTACTTTAAGGGTTTTGGTAAAGTGATAAGTAATTGTGCTTTCTCAGTGACATTTTGATAAGATAATTTTTGTTTCTTTTTCATATATTTCTTGTTGGAATGGTGGATATTTTCGTAGAAGTTGTAAAGATGTAAAGAGTTATCTCCCTACCGATATTGGTATATATCTGAAATCCATACAAATTTTGTCAAAAACACAATAGGCACCATTATGCTGTTGATGTCTGTGGGTGATTTTTTGTTTGTTTTTTTTTTCAGATTTTTTCAGAGGCCCTGTGGTAAGTCAGGTACGACTCGCTGGCCTGGAACATGTGATACAAGTCACTGCATTAGATGGAAAAGTACAGCTTAGAAATTACAAGTTAGTAAAAAATAAAAATTATTGCACTAAAGAAAAATTGCTGACTTTTACTTTATTTAGAAAAATCACTGACTTTCACTTATTTAGATCTGACCAGATTTCGACACAGTGAATATATACAGCTTTATTTGAATTGATCAGCAATGAGAGTTTGACCATCACTAAGGAGAAGATAATGTCTTATATCGCACAGATGTTTATATTAACTACTTTGTAAATGAGAAATTCAACTTGGCAGAGGGTTTTACAACACCTGGTCAAGGCTGTTGTGAGAAAATATTCAAGATGAATGTTGTTTGAGAAAAATGAGTTTAAGCGTACAAAGATATTCCAAAAACTCATTTTTATCAGTGTTTAGATGTACTGATTTTGTTGAATATGGTGAATACCATACTGCAGGGCTGTTTTCTCAGAGATGATATTTCCACTTAGAAGTACATTAACATTACTGCCAAAATTTATAATAAGACACAGATGTATAAGATGTCCTGAATTTCTAATGATATAATGTAATGGTTTTAGAAGAAATTGGAGAAAATTTTTACCTGTAAAAATAGCCAGCTTAATGGTAAATATTACGTACTCTGTATACTTTTCTTAATTGATGATTAGTTGGTTCAAACAAGTGTAATGTTCTACAACAAAAACAACAATGGATTTATTCATACCCAGAATGATATATTTATTCCAATGACATATGTTAATATATTTTTTTAAGTGTTTAGAATATAAGTAATGTTATCCATGTCAACTTTCATTTTATTGTTTGCCAATATAAATTCATGCATTCAGATTACATATGAATTCAACGAAAATCAATCTCCCATGGAAATTGATAACTTATTTTGAATTAGTGTTTTTCTTATAGTTACAGATCTGATTTACTTGATATTTACAATTCAGAAAGTGAATATAGAAGATTTTATGATCTAACCATACAGGGAAATCCTATGTGATAACCATTGAAATTAAAAAATTTCAAAAAATTACTTATCAACAGAATTCTGATGAAAAAGTCTGGCAGTAACACTCCCAGAGTAGAGCTCGAGGATATGGGCCCATCCTTTGACTTTGTCATTAGGCGGACAAAACTTGCCTCCGACGATCTCTACAAGCGCTCACTCAGACAACCCAAGACAGCAAAGGTTTGTTTATTATTATATAAGGTTAAAATATTACTTAACCAGTGTATTATCATTCTTGGTTCTCATATTAAAGCTTAGAGTAAGGCTTTACCAAATGGTAAAATTGAATAAAGGAGTTAAGATATCTGTCTACAACACACATTGGTGGTTAGCTATTTCCCTCTAATACATTTTTGATCATGAAAAACAGCAAATTTGTTATCATGAATTAAAGCTGTCATGCCATCCAAAATGCCCATATAAAAGTGGGCCAGATCTAATGATGTTATCTAATTGAAAAATGATAATGCAAATTTCTTGTTATTGTTGGCATTTTTAGGATTAACGTTCTTTTATTTTTCCTTGGCACAATTTACCTGGGAAGTGCAGCTGAAACAAGGCATTATATTATTGTTTTGTTCGTCTGTTGATCCAATAATGTTTTGCCCAACTGTCATTAGAGTAAATGGCTCAGATTATATGTGTTTTACAACTTGAGGCTCTCTATGTTGTTTGTGCAGCAATTACTTTAGATAGCAAATTTGACATTGTGCTAATATGCTAAAAAAAATTGATAAAGTTCTAAAACTTGTTGTGCCAAATTAAACATGTTTAAAGTTAGTTGTTTTGTACACAAAACTACACAGAATTTGAGCTTCTTTCACGGAAAGAGTTTAAAAATGGAAGGTGTTGTGGTCCCGTAGCTGAAAAAACTATAAAAAAAAGGGCAAAATGATGAAAATTTTATCTGACAGGCTATTGAATGAGCATGGTTACAACAGCTCTTTTGGTTATTTGGTCAAATGTTCTGCCAAAAGGTTGTGATTTGAACTCTTTACAACCTGTCTTTATGTCTACCCTATTATTCAAATGGCTTGAGGTCATGATCAGTTGTGTGATGCTGAGAAGAAAGTAATAAAGAGGAACTAATCTACCTAGTTGTTCGAATGGATTGATCCTTATATGGTTAGTTTGTTCATAGAAGGAATTCTGCAGGAATTCACTCAGGCTAAAAAAAGGTGTGTGGAATGTGGTAAAGAGGAAAGCTTGTTAATCTGACACCAAACCCACAACACAGGCTTATTGTTGGACGTATATGTTAATAAGCGTGGCTTGGCTAAGCGTGGGTGGGCTTATTACCAGACATGGGCGCATTACTGGATAAATGGGTCATTAATCATTGCTTGGATTGATAACTGGACAGCAATTGTGTAGGCTTATTACTTGATAAATATGACAGCAATAAAGGTTAATTATTCTGTTTTTCTTGCAGCCTAGAAAAATCAAGAACATCTCCCACAATCCTTTTGGTTCCAAACTTGGCAGAATTCACATGGACAAACAGGACCTAGGGAAGTTACAGACAAGAAAGATGAAAGGCCTGAAAAAGTCAAAGAGTTCCAAGTCGTTAGACAGTGTATCAAAAGTCAAAGAATCGAACGGTCCATCTAGTGCAAAACGAGCCAAGAAATCTGTCGACTGATCTACATTGTTATTGATTTGGAAATAAGTGGCAAAGAGATATTAGATGTGAAGCATGCCTAGAGCTGATTCTGAAGGAAAAATAAATCAGCCAGGTGAAAGATAATTTCGTAATGTGAATGACACAAAAATATATGCAAAATAGATACCAACCTGTTTGTGTTCCAGCATGACTGCTGGAAAAGTTAGGTATGACATATAACCTAATCCTCTTGGATCAGAATATTAACAGACCACTACAGGGTCCGTCTGTCTCCGTGTAATGATACTGGTCATGTGAAACAAGCCAATCTATTTCAATGTCAGTAGGAGGATAATATAAAGACCGAAGCATTACAATTTTTAGATGAAAATTGAATCACTAGAAATGAGATCTGATCATGTTAATTTTTGAGAGAAAAAAAACACAAATTAAACATCAATATTATGTTTAGATTTGAATCTGTCATCCTCTTGAATAATTCTATTTTACTTCATTAACCAATATCATATTTATATGAATAAGGATAATTTTTTCATATCATATTTTCAGATTTTAAATTTCCTTTGAGTTCTGCTGTTGGGTTTAAGATGATATTTGCATGAAATAATCCCAAGACAAAGTGTCGTTATTTTCCAGATCATTCGGAAATCCAAGATACCTCTCTTTTTGGTTACTCTCTTGAAAATCACTTTCACACTTATGAAGAACTTGTATTATGGTAGAATCAATAGAACAGATTCACTGACACAAGCCACAAATTTATTTTTCACCTTGATGGAAAGTTCCAAATGTAGCCATTTTGAAATGTGATTACACAGTCTGTTTTTCTGTGTTTTTATTTCAAACAAACACATTTCAAATTTCTTTTTTTTTGTATTTCATTTGATTCATTTGGTACCTGTTGTTACTGATGTACTTACATACTAACTGAGGGACTCTGTTGATATTTGTGTTCTTACCCAGGGACTCCAGTTACCTTCGACATGGGATGATTCAAGATCGAATGTTGTGACTTTGAACTGTCATAGTCCATATTGGACATGTTGTGTCCTTGTGTGTATGTGTATGAATGCGTTTGAGAGAGGGAATGTTTGGTTATGTAGGTGTGATGTGAGATATATCTGTATATATGACTGTAATGAAAGAAAATAAAAATCAATTGATAAAGGTATGATCATGGTTTTTTTATTTGGAATTTGCAGGATTGCTGTGTTGATGTATTTCATAACGTTGGTGGTTAAAGGGAGGTAATGGTGGTTAAAGGGAGGTAATAACTACCACTAGTGATAAAGTTAATAAAAACCATCGTATTTATCCCATGCGAAACACGTTTGCTGGGCTCTGTTTGTCTGTGTGTCTGTGTGTCCATCCATGCACACTCATTTCCCTGACTGGTGCTCTGAAACCGTTTAAGATAATCTCTGGAAACTTTATTCAGTTATCAAGCTAGTAGTGTAGTGATGCCTTTTTCTCTGGGGAAGTTCTCCATTTAGATACTCTTTCAATTACCTTGGAAACAGATATACCGATTCACAAATTTCAGCTTTTCCAGGCCTGTGCTCTGGAACCATTCAAGATAATTACTCAACACTTTGTACAGTTATCAAGCTAGTAATATAATGCCTTTTGCTATGGGAAAGTTCTCTATTAGAATACTTTTTTCTGTTAATATGGAAACAGAAAGACTATAAAAAAATAATATATATGCTTGTGTGTATTTTAAACAGTAGGATGCAGGGGATAATGTCACATTCTGCATTGTCTTTTTCTATTTCTTGAAATTTGAAATATCTGCTATTGTCCTAGCATTTAAACCCAGGATCACATCAGTTTCTGGCACAAAAGTCAACCATGGTCTCCCCTATTGAAGGATTCAGTTACTGTGATATACATGTTAGAAAAATAGGATATAATGTAACGATATATTGTATGATATATTGTGTCTTACATTGTATTGCCTTTATTAATTCTGTATAATTCAGATTTTCTTTTCTTCTTTTTCCTCATTGCCCTTTAAGTCAGCCATTTTGTTCTTGTCAAAGTGATCAAGATGAAGCAACATGAAATCTTAGATGGATCAGCTCCATCCTTTACATGAAAGAGTAATTACATACATAAATGACATGAGAATAATCCTTGAAACACTTCTCAACAAAATTTTACCAACAAAATCCAAGATGGTTGCCTGTCAGCTGTTTTAGTGACCAGTCCATAAATGGATTATACACAGCCAGGAACCATAGGCTTGTCAGCCATTTTGTTTTTCAGACCAGTGAAATTTTAGAAAGACCATTTAATATCTGCAATTGTCCAGAAGAAGTATTTTAAAATCTTTGAGAACTTTCAAAGATTAAACGACCTGTTGGCAGCCTCTTTCTTCAGATTTATTAAAAAAATCACGATGCAGTAGCTGGAAGTGTCTACATTCCGAATTTGGTAATTATTTATGTAATAACCATGAATATAATTCTGTCTCCTGTTGTCCATGTTGGTCTTTTAGATAAGATTCAAAATTGAACAGCTAGGGGACTAATGAAGCATAATGGTATTTGAGTGTGACCCATGCAGACGTTTTGTAGAACCAGCCATGACAAAAATTGTTGAGTACAGCCCATAAAAATTATGAAAATTGTACAAATATTATTCCTGAAAATAAAACAAGAAAGCACAGTTTTCTGTCATGAAATGCCCTAACATTAGGAGCAGCTAGTTGAAAATCTGACGAAAAGAAAATGCTTTATACATAACAAAACAAAGGGCTGTTACTGTGAAAAAAAATCAAAACATTTGGTCAAAATTGAGTGCTGTAGTTTATATGATGCGGACTAAGTTTTAAAGAGAACACAAGACAAAAATCAGTTTTGAAAAGCAAAGGGCAATAACTCTTCTATCAAAATTTGAATCAAAAAGTTATTTAGGAAGACACGATTTCATTGTAATCTGTGGCGTTTTGTCCCTGCTTGTTTGGAACTCCAGAAAGTCCGAATGATGTTTATTTCCGGATGGTATTAAAATCATGAAAAAAGGGCAATAACTCTTTTTAAAAGTCGGATAATAGAATATAAATGCCGTTCGAGAAGACACAACATCATGTATTGATGCTAAAGTGTATTAAGAATGAAGAGATTGGTTAAAAGCCAAGGGGTTCCTGACGATGAGAAAGACTTACAGTAGACATAACTCGTTCGCGCGGTAGCATGGCACTCTACCTAAGAGTGGGATGAGGTGGTCGGGTGGATCAGTGGTAACGCACTCGCCTTTCACCTAGCCGTCCGGGGTTTGACTCGTGAAACGGACGTGAAAAGGCAAGGGTCACCTGCCCGACCACGTGGGTTATCCCCCAAGTTCTCCGGTTTCCTGCCACAGTAAGACCCTCGCGCGCTTAATCCGGGCCAACAAGAGTGATTAGTAGAAGTTGAAACGACTTGTTTCGCAATTGTTGTAAAATAAATAATGTGTATAGTTTTTATAATACTGGGATGATATTCAATTCAATTCCTTTATTACAAATGCGAATAGCATATAGGATTACAAAATGATCGTACAGAAATATTACATTTCATTAAAGCAAGATGGCGTAGGACATTACAACATCATTAACAAACATGAACCAATGAAATTATACAGTGATTGTCAGTAGTAATAAGCTAGAAATATACCATTGGATTAGTTCAAATGCTTAGAAATGTATAGATAATAAAACCATCTTAGACCATGTCGGACTAAGTTTTGTTTGGTTTCATCAGAAAACATGTTTGCCCAACGTAAACTATTTAAGACAAATTATTACACAAAATTGAACGATTCAGCCTTGGTTTTAACAGCTGGAAACTTCATCACGAGGAGAAATGTGTAATATGTTCAAGACGAAATTTGGCTTTGAAGATTATTAAAAAAAGACAGAACTCTCGCTTGTAGTAACGGGAATCCAACGAGAAGAATATGTCCTTTTGTACTGCGGGTAGAGAAGACGAATTTAATTGTTTACTCATTTGCACAAGCAATAATGTAGTACAGTTTGTCGTAAGTTCATCCAAGACTAGTTTTACAAAAATCCCAACTTCTATAAAATTAAATAGAAAAAAAAAAATGAAATTCCATTTGTACAAAAACCGCTTGTTAACATATCATATTTTTGATAAATCCGTCACGGGATGCTTGCATGTACCTGATCATTAATGGTCACACATGGTATTCATAATTTTCACCTACTTTTTAAATGTGTGTATAAAAGGATAAAAATGATGTTTGATGTAGTAAAACCTTATTCTTATTATAACTTAAAACATAGCTTTGTATAAAGAACTTTGTATTAAGTGTTATAATGAAGTACCAATGATTTTAACATAGTAACACCTATTAGGGCTCAAAATTGTACATTATGTATACAATGACCCCTTATAACACACTATGTGTGTCTGAGCGAATACTGAGATACCAAACAAGGGATTTAGTAATATCCTGTAATATGGACAGCTTTCATGGAAAATTTCTCTATAAAAAAAATTATGGTATTAATAAAAATAATAATGGACGTTTACGTACAAATTGAACTCCGTGATATATTATATTTGTAATTAAAGTTTTCAAGACAAATTAATTTCTTAAATTTAGAAAATTCTATTCAATTATCGATATGATTTAGATCTTTCTTGTGAAAATATCCCTCAGTAATATCACTTATTTAGACATAGTGGTAAGATAAATCGTTGTTGTTGTTCAGTCCGCGTATATTTCACGTTCCGGGACCCAAATTTGTGTCCATAATCACTTCAAGTGTAATTCAGAAAATTGGTTTTATCATAAGAAGTTATCATTGCTGTGTGTTTGTTTCACTTTTGTTCAGGTTTTTTTTTTAAACAAATGCGCTCAACGAACAATTCTATTGAATTTGACAGTTATGATGATAATATTATCAAACCAGGCACATAATATTTGAATCCATTTTCAACTCTTTATGCAAATTCATAACTTCACAGATAACGGGTTGTAACAATTTTGTGTGAACATTTCGTACATATATACGAATAAGGTAGTTTTCTAGCTAGCTAGATGTTTATATCGACACTAAACTATTTAAATTGCAATTAAGATTATTTGTCATATGGCTATATGACACTTAAGTGATAAAAACTTTCGACATTTTGTCCTTTTTATGGGATTTTCATGTCGTTATGACACGCGAATCACAAACCATTTGTTGACGTAATTACCTTCAAAGCACACCTCGAAATGGTCATAATTATCTGCCCTCGTGACACTGTGGTGGTTACGTAATAACCCCAACCTACCTCGGGGGCTAATGTCCGTACGGTACCCGATATCATAAAGAAATTCCCGCCATTTTCAGAGGTGGAATTGATAGATCAAAGCAGACGACATAGCCCCAAATTTCCCGCCATTCTCTTGCGCGTGACATCAATCATTTGCAGATGACGGATACAGGCTGGACACAAACTGACCACCAGCTGACACCTTTGTTCCCGAATGGGTGTGTGCACGATAGCTTATTAAGGAACGGTGACGTAAAACATCGACTACATCGATGGGGCCTCGGGGATATTAACGAAATTGTATTTCTTTTAAAACGATATGGAATAGTTCACAAATATTACAAAATTTCGGAAACCTATAATTTATCATAAAACAAAATTAAATCATTAACATATATATTGATGATCCTAGAGAATTTCGAAGAAAATGGAAAAAAGAATGTTTCATAAAAATATATAAAAAAAAAAAACCTGTCAGTTACTATAATTATACCGTGTTGTCCGACATCTGAGTATTCCGACGTTCAAATAGTCCCGGTCTCAAAGAAGACATTTGCTAATTTAAATAAGGGATTTAGACACAAGTTATTACAGCTTTCTGTGGTATTCTCGTATATTTATGAATACATGATATCAATGAAATGAGGTAGATATATTTATATATATACAATCTACACATACACAAGATCACGACACAAAAACATATCACAAAATACATTTTTAATGAAATTCTGCACATGTCTAAACACAAAGAAGTTTAGGTCTCGACAGAAAGACCTAAACCTCCAAACAAAAGAAGCCCCAAAATCCACCCTTTGCCTAGGACATTCAGTTTATAAACTATAAATTATAAATAACTCTACGGCATACTATGTATAAGGTTTCTGC